TGTCACCTATGCATAATATCGGGTTTTCTGGAGGGTTTCTGCTAATGACCATATATTTCGTTTTCAAAATGTTGATTTTGAGGCCATATTTTTTACCTATGCTATTCACCCTATCAAGTAATAACTGCTGATCTTCCAAATTATCAGTTATAATCACTGTGTCGTCCGCATAGCGTAGGTTGCTAATTGGTATGCCGTTCACCTTAATGCCTAATTCCGTATCTTCTAATGCTTCCGCAAATATATTTTCAACATATAAATTAAAAAGCATCGGAGAGAGTATGCAGCCTTGGCGGACACCTTTCCGGATTTCAAATTCATCCGTATATTGGTCTTGATCAATCCTCACCTTTGCCATTTGGTTCCAGTATAGATTCTGAATAATTCTGATCTCCTTCTGGTCAATGTTGGCCCTATGTAGTAGTTCCATCATGATATCATGTTTAACATTGTCAAATGCCTTCTCGTAGTCGATGAAGGTGAGGTACACATCTTTTCGTTGATCTAAGGAGTTTTGTATTAAGGTGTTCAAACATAAAATTGCCTCTCTTGTTCCTAGTCCTCCCTTAAAACCGAATTGTGTTGACCCGCTAAGTTCTTCTAGTATCTTATACATTCTTGAGTGTAATATCCTAAGGAAGAGTTTCAATAAGTGACTCATTAAACTGATTAAGCGGTGTTCATTGCATTTTGTGGCATTAGCTGTTTTTGGGATCATCACAAAGGATGACTGCAGCCATTCTCGCGGAATGTAACCAGTATCATAAATTCTATTGAACAGCCTTACCAAGATTTCTATATTCTCCTCGTCTAGTAGTTTTATTGCTTCTATATTAATTTCATCTGGACCTGTTGCTTTATGCATCTTTGTGGTTCTAATTGCATATTCTATTTCACTTCGCATTATTGATGGCCCTGATAAGTTTTCGGAAGGAAGTTTGCGCGTTGGTTGTGTTGGTCTTTCGTCATTAAAAAGGCTTTCTGCGTATTCTTTCCACGCCATTGCTATCTCTTCTTCTGACTCTATGTATTCGTTTCTGTCGTTGCGTATTCTTGTTCTGTGGTGGCTTTTGTGTATATTCGATATTTCTTTGATCTTCTTATGCAGTCCAAAACTATCTCCTTTTTCCTGCAATTGTTCTATTTCGTTGCACCTTTCCACCATCCAACGTTCTTTTGCTTTCTTAATTTTCTGACGGATTTCTTTGTGTATCTGTTTGTATTTGTCTTGATTACGTTGTTGTTTATGTTGCCTTCGCTTTTCCATTAGATCCATAATTTCGTCCGTCATCCATTCGTTATGCTTTATCTTTCTGATCTGTGTTTTAACTTCCCTGTTTACTGCCAGAATCGTTCCTTTAATATCATTGACCATCTCTTCGATATCATAATTTTGTTCTATTACTCGCATTCTTTCATTAATTTGATTCGCATAACTCTTCTTCAGATTTTCGTCTCTCATCAGTTCTCTTGTATTTATAGGTGTGCTGGTATTTGTATTTGTTCTCTTAATTTTTGCTAGTTTTAACCTCACATCTGCTATTAGCGGATTATGATCGGATGCAATATCAGCACCTGGATATGCGGCGATTCTTTTGATAGCGTTACGAAATCTTCTGTTTATTAAAACGTAGTCAATTTGGTTTCTAATTATTCGATTTGGACGGTCTCCTGGTGATCTCCAAGTATATAACTTACGAGGTGGGAGCTGAAACCATGTGTTCATGACGACAAAACCGTTCTCCTGGCAGAATTCACACAGCAGGTCGCCTCTTTCAAATCTAACTCCAAGGCCGTACTCTCCAATTATGTCTTCATATCTTCCTTTACCCACCTTGGCGTTAAAGTCGCCCAATATTATGTTTATGTCCTCTTTCTTTGTTAGTCTTATTGCTTTTTCCAGATCTTTATAGAACTTAGTTATTTCTTCTTCTGACTTATCTGCTGTTGGTGCATATGCTTGTGTCACATTTATGTACCATCTGCTTGTTCTTTAATTATAGAAATAACCAGCTTCTTAACTCTTTCTTTTGTTTTTAGCTTAATTTTTATCAGAAAATTCCTGCACTTTAAATCGTGAATCTATAAATTTATTAGTAATTGTATTATTAGTAATTGTACTACGTCGGATACTATGGATGTAATGTTACCGTTTATTGCAAGATTCTTGCAGGCAGCGTACCATAACAATCACTGAACTGCCCTTTAAGTATTTTTGGCCACTCATTGTACTTGTTATTTCTTTAAAAGGCCGTAAAATTTGGGAAAGTTGAGAACAAATAATCCAATCTTCATTATTTAGATTTGGTCTAAGTCTTTATTAACTAATACCAATGTGAAACGGACCGCCTCTTCTAACTCGGTCATTATTTTTGGCATGTAATAGGTGAAATTTTACCTAATTTCCACGCCTCGGATTGGCCGTTTGTGAACTTTGTTATGTTGTAACTGATACTTTAAAAGCCTTTCTGAAGATAAGGTACTTTTTTGAAATGGGTTTTTGGCCGAATTGTCAAAAAAAAACTTCTTATTTTATCTATTTGTACAGGACAGCATTTAAGTGCATCCTCCACAAATAAATTTAACGTATGAGCAAAACACTTTAAATGTTTTCATTCCAAAACATTTTTAATAGCTTAGACCATATTTGAGGCATTATCAGTTACTGCAAAATTTACTTTTCCTTTAAACCCAACTGATTAATAATTTCACTAATTTCAAAAGCGATGTTTTCTGAATTATGTTTTCCAGAAAAATGGCAGCAGCCTAATAAAACCGTTTTAAATTGTAAATTTTCGGTTAAATATTGTCTTGTTAATGCGTTGTAACTCTCAGTTAGTCCAGATGTCCAGAGGTCAGTAGTAATACAGATATTTTCTACTTCTTTAACAACTTGTGATCTAATAATTTGCTTAGTTTTGATATAACATTCCTGAAGTAATGAACCTGACAAAGTTTTCTTGTTGGCGGTTTATATCCAGGAATCCACCATACAAACTTTTGAAAAGCTCGTTCTTCAACTACGGAAAACGGATGAAACGAGTCATTGCATAGGTTTAGTAAATCCATATCTATTTGTTTCTTTTGTTCTAAACTAATATTTTTATTAATGGAAGTTTTGACGCTTGGGTGGGGTGGCAGTATCTCAGTACTTGTAGTAGAAGTAGTCGAAACGGACAGAAATGCGTCAGGAGAAGTTTCAATCATTGCAATATTCAGAAAGTGGACCACAAAAACTGCATCTTTTACAAATGTGCATTTTTTGAAAATAAAATTATTATTCTTTTACAAGGTTAATAATTTTAACTAAAAAAAGAATTCTTAATTAAATATTTACAATAAATAAATCCTTTCACGAACTATCAATAAAGATTTGAAATCGAAAATGCAGATCAATCGTAAATCGAAACTCATTCATTAATCAGAATACCTAGTTATAAAAAGCAAAAGAAAGTTAAGAAGCTGGTTACTTCTATAAAAAAAGAAAAAGAAGATTGTACTATTGAAAATCAACCAGTACAAGAAAAAGAAATTGATAAAGATGACTTAAGTCCATGGTGTATTTTTAATGAATTAATTGAACATGACTCATCTAAACATACACCTGTATCGAGAGATATCAAAAAGTCGACATGTATTTGTCTGATGATATATTACCCACAAAAAATTTCGAACGGAAATTGGAACTGTCCATTACAGTGGTGGAAAAACCATCGTTATGTATATTCTAACTTAACCACTATACTCATAAAATATTGTAGTATTGTAACAAAATCTGTTCCTTCGGACCTGTTTTTCGGACCACTCCATAAATATTATAATCAAGCTGTTACTCACTGGCTCAGAGAAAATCCTGGTCGTGCAATAACCATACAGCAAGTGTCCAGTCTCTTCCAGAAAGCATATGAAAAAACAGCAAATATTGAAATCGCAATAAATGGTTTTCGGGCCACAGGAATATCACCTATAAATCGTGACATCTTCCCGGAGCATGCATTTTTGCCTAGTGCAACTACAGATGTGCCTGAGAATGTGCCTGGTTCTACTAATAAACCTGACATTGCTTCTACATGAATCCTGATGGAATTGGTACCGGTACCTCAGACTAATGTAAGAAAATCTACCAAACGTAAATCTGGTCAACATCAAGATGTATTAACCGAGAGCCCCTTCCTGAAATATCTCCGCGAAAAAGAAAATGAATAAAAAGCACAGGAAATAAAAAGCAGAAAAGGGGACGTCGTGAAAAGAAAAATAGTCAATGATTTAAGTGATGGAAGACGCATTGTGAACAAAGATAGACATCAGTCGAAGAGAAATGACAAGAGAAATATTGTGACCAGATCAATACTGAACAATATATCAAGTGATGAAAAAGAACCCTTTAGTATTGATGATGATGAACAAGAGGACTGCGCTTGCATTTACTGCAATGATACGTTTAGTGGGTCCAAATCTAATAAAGGATGGTTAAGATGCCAAATTTGCCAAAACTGGTGTGCTGGACTTCCCAAAAAAGCAAAACAATTTATTTGCGAACTTTGTATGAACTAAAATGTTTAATTTCAATTTTTTTTCTTCGTAAAAATAAAAATTTATAATTATTTTTGTATTTAACACTATTGTTTATGTGTATGCTATTTTGCCCGCACTGGGCGGACAAAATGGTTTTTTGTTACATTTTGATTTTTTTTAAATAAATTTCTTTGTATGAGTGATTTTTTGTTACTTAGAATAGTAGAAAAATGACCTGGCTATCATTATACATCAAAAGGAATGATTTATCTCTATTTATGTCTCAGATACATGGAAAATAAACTAGGTATGCCATCTTGCCCGCCCTTCCCCTAATGTCTAACGCAATACGCTTTGCATTTTATATATCTTAAAAAAAAACTGTAAGTATAAACCAACATTAAATTTAAAAACAATTCGTTCTCATGACTTTCACAACTGCGCATTACAATTTTACCGAATAGTACACCTAAAATATGACTTACAATCCATAAAGATCTCCTAGGGCCTCTTGCACCTAGATCGTAATTTGGGACTGATGCTGATGCAGATCGACTGCTGTTTGCTGCATTGTTCGACCAAGTATTACTGCGCGGTCTACTAATATAGCCTGACGAACTGGCACGTTCGGTGTTATTATTTCTTCGACTAGGCATTTGATCATTTCTATTGTAGCACTGAATAACCACAATTAAAATAAAACTATTTCACTGTACATCACTTTCACTTTTCAAATCATGTTTTCTTCGACAAAAATCAACGACCCTGGTGATGACGACACGTCACAAAAAATACGTGATATGACTAGCGCAAACTGAGTAGTTATCTAAAATATTAAGCTTTAATTAAAACTGTAAATAAAAGATAACACCATAAGATTTGTTTAATAATGTATACAATCAAGTTTGCCAACTTTCCAAACGCTAAGTATTAATAACGGTGTGTACTAAAATATTAATCATAAATAATTTATTATTAATAATACTAGAAAAGAAAATTGTTTTGAACGTCTGCTTTATGTTGCTTCTTGGCTGTCTAGTAAGCATGCACAGGTATACTTATATTGATTGGTTTATCTATTATTTATTGTACCTACACAAAGTTTTATAAAAACAGGAAGTATTTGCGAATAATTTTAAATAATTAGTTTCATTTACAGTTGTTCAACAATACCACTCTAACATCTATAATTTTACGATTATTATTTTTATTCGTGCGATGTTATTTTGGAACATTTATGATTCATTTATTTTATACGTGAGTTTTCGAATATTTTGCAAATATTAAAGGTATCAGAGATGAAAATGATAAGATAATATTGTAATTAAATTGGACAAAACTGCGCAAAATATTATATTTATGTTTATTATTTTAAAGTATTATAAAGTATTATACAACTAATATTTGAGGGCTTTAGTTAACTGCAAAACAACCGTTCTCCTTCTTCTTACCGCGCCGTGCAGCTATAGGGCGTTGGCAAATTATCTTAAGATCAGACGTCTGTCTTTTGGGACATGTAAAAGATCGCAGTGTTATTTATACCTGTCCAGTTCTTTATGTTTCGTAGCCACGACATTTGTTTGCGACCTACTCCTCTCTTGTCTTCAATCTTTCCCTGGATGATTAGTTGAGAGATTGCGTATTTTTTTCCTCTCAGAATATGGCCGAGATATCCAATTTTTCGTACCTTGATCAAATTGAGTAGTCCTCTCTCAGTATTTGCCTTTCTTAAGACTTCCTCATTTCTCACCCTATTTATTTATTTTATTTAAAATCAACTGCATATAATGTTTGTTGTCTGTTATTATCGCGGTGTCGTCGGCGTAACGAATGTTATTTATCGGGAACCCCTTTACCTTTATTCCACACTCTGAGCCTTCCAGTGCCTCTGCAAAAATGTTCTCCAACTAGAGATTAAAGAGCATAGGAGACAAGATACACCCCTGTCGCACACCTCTTAAAATTTCAAATTCTTCTGTGTTGGTTGATTTGTTCAGTCTCACTAATGCTTTTTTATTCCAATAGAGATTCTGGAAAACTCTTATATCTTTCTCGTTAATGTTAGCATTGTGTAGCATTTTTATCATTGAGTCATGTTTTACGGTCCTTTCCAATATCCTTTCGTTGATCTATGCAGTTTTGTACAAGCGTATTCAAGCAAAAAGCTGCTTTAACCAGTCCGCTCTTGAAACCAAATTGTGTCTCACCGCTTAGATCTTTCAGCTTTCCAGAGGCGCACCCAGATTGTGTCTGGGGGGAAGGGTTTTTAATTTTTTTATACTACCTCTATTTTGAGTCTCTAAAATTTGGGTTTTAGTTTAATTTTAAGTACTAAAGATAGCAGTGCTAAAGATTCAGGTATCTATTATCCTGCCTACCGACTAAAACCACCCTCTATTACTTGTGCGCAGTTGACTTTCGCACGTACCGTACTCCGAAAGTGAGGTGGCCGCTGTAAGGCTGACGACATTTTTGGAACACTCCCTTCTTTTATCTATATCTTATCTGTTGTTCTGAGGCTATTCTGTTGTGGCATTTTAAAGTAATTACCTCTTTAATGGGAATAAGCCACAATTGAAGGTTAAAATAGGTTTATTGACGTTTGACATTAATCCAACTTGTAAATACAATACATTTTGGAGATGGCTATCGCTGTATTCCCGTTCTCCTTCGCCAATCCTCCCAGTCCAAGGCATGCTTCTCCTCCAAACCTCTCGATTTCATCGTTCTTATAATTCCTTCATTCCATGAGCGTCAAGGTCTACCTCTTGTTCTTCTTCCAAAGGGCTTCCATTTGTGAAGTTTTTGGGGCCAACGTTCGTCGGACATTCTCAATGGGTATCCAAACCATTTTGAACCTCTTCTTTCTATTCTGTCAATCGCCGTTTCTGTAGCATTCATGTTATTTCTTATAGATTCGTTGGTCTTCCTTTCCTGCCTTGACGTTCTAGCACTTCTTCTCAAATAATCCATTTCAACTGCCAACAATCTTCTCTTCAGGTCTGCATTAATTGTCCATACTTCAGAGCCATAACAAAGAACTGATTCAACCATGGTTTGCCCTATTCTTTTTTTGTTCCTTTTGGAAATGTTGCGCATTAAGGGAGTTAATCAGTCATAAATCATTAAGTTAATTAAGGGTGTTAATCCCACTTTAAGGGAGTTCAGACATCCTACAATTTTACGTCCCTAATTAATTCGGTGCTTAATTTCGATTTCTCCCAAGCCGTTCTTAGCAATGAGTGTATCTAAATATTTAAATTTTTCCACTTGTTTCATTTCTACGTCCTCGGCTTTCGTCGACTTCAAACCTTGCATCTGAATTGATAACTAAATATTCTGTTTTCTTCATGCTGACTTGCAACCCCCATTTTACATATAAAAAAAAGACTGTTGCTAAGTAACTTATGAAAGTATTTTTTGTTGTTTTCTTTGAGGTTCAAAATTTAATACATATGTACATCTTTTTATTTTATTTAGCCTATTCTATCTATATTCTATATAAAAATTATGTTTCTATGCTTCTGTATATTTTATACCTTCTTTAAAAATATTAAAATAAATATTTATATTTTTTGATATGCAGGCCGGAATTAGATCATCATCAGGCTGGAATTACTACTATTTTTTCAACATACACCGGAATTAAACTTTTTTGCATTGTAGTAAAAATATTTTTTTTTGCGAATAAAAAACACATTTTTTTATTTTTTATTATTTATTTTGATAAAGAAAATCTTAAGCTACCAAATTATATACTTTAAATCCATTTTATCTATTATTTAGTTTTCTTAATATTTAAATCTAAAGTAAAATATTCCTTAACTGGGCCGTTATTACGTCGGTTTGCCGATAGATATTACCGATAGATATTAAGATATAACCATTTGCAATTTGGTCTGGATTGATGTGTAAAGTGGTTAACCTTTTTTTAACAATGTTTTTAAACAGTGCTTTGGGCATGGCACGATATAAAATGCATCAGAACTTATTACGACCAAATAAGACAGTCATGTGTAAAAACAAACACCACGTGACGGTTTAAAGCTATGTCATTGGCTATGTGAAAAATGGAGAATGCTCGTTTTGCTTCCAATGTGAGGATACACAAAAAAAACAAAACCACTTAAAGAAGAAACTTAAATATATAAAAAACTTCAACGGGGAGAAAATAAATCAGAGCATTCTATAAGAAAGTTAACATCAATAGAAAGTCAACCACAAGACAATGCAGAAGTCAGAATTGCGACCTATTAACAACAAGGAAAGATGTATTGAATAGATGCGTAGAATATTTTAACCAGGTACTTAATAAAGATAAAGAAGAAGAAAACCTGGAAGACGAAAGAGATGAGGTAACGGGAACAGACGAGAGGGAAGAGGAACCACCAACGATTCTTGAAGTTAAAGATACAGTTAAAAAACTAGCCAGAAACAATAGATAATCTCCCAGCTGAAGTATATAAAGAAGGTGACCATATTGGCATTACAGCAGCTTATAAAAGAAATATGGACACAGAAATCCCTCCCTAATGATTGGAATATTCGAATACTTTGCACCGTACACAAAAACGGAGATATCTTTGAATGCTCTAACTACAAAGGAATTACGCTTCTAAATGCAGCGTATCAAATATTTTTTACAGTACTATGTCACCATATGGCACCATATGCAGAACGGATAACAGGAAAATACCAGGCTGGTTTCAGATCGATAATTTATCAGATTGTAACCCTGAAACAAAGTTTAGAAAAAACACTGGAATATGGCATTCATACTCATTACATATTTATAGACTATAAAGCAGACTACGACTCTGTGAATATAAGAGAAATGTTCAAAGCAATGAAAGAGCTACTAATATCAAATTAGTTGGTAAATTAAACAAAACTAACTCTTAAAAAAGTTGAATGTAGAGTACGAATTCAGGGAAAATTGGAGAACGGACTGCGCCAGGGAGACGCTCTCCTGTATACTGTTCAATCTGGCTCTGGAAAAAGTAATACGTAAGTCACATATCACGACTATTGGTTCAATATATAATAAATCAGTACAAATCCTTGCCTATGCTGATGATATCAATATTGTTGGGAAAATGGAAAACTCCTAAAACCACTTGATATAGAATATGACGTCAACGAAGCAGTGATCAAATTTTGATACCTAGGTCACAGGTTCCGTAACATTGAAAATAATACTGTCGCAAATATAAACCGCAGAATTTGCAACGCCAGCAGATGCTGTTTAGGGATTAATCTAACAACAGATGCTGTTTAGGTATCAAAATTCAATCACTGCTATGTATAAAAAGATAGACATAACATTATTCAACAAACGGTAGTCATACAGAACCTTGTTCCTTTCTTCTTGACCTGGACCACCGAAGAGACTGACGGGCTGGTAAAAGGTTCTATCACTCCGCCTTTCTTCATTTCCCGAACAATCCTTATGGGTTTTTTACCGAGTGACAGTGGCTGGCAATTACTGTACAACCAAGTATACGTGCTCATAGCCAATATTTAAACAAACAATTTTCACATCCGGTTTATTAACAACATAACACCACATTAAAACACAAGTTTATTTTTGAAATTTCTAGTAGTTTATAGATTAGTAGTTACAAATGGAAAGTTTTTAATCAAAAAGAAATAATATGTACTCCCATTATTCATGATTATTTTTTTTTTCAATGAAAGAAATCTGCGACAGTATGTTTATTTGAGCTATTAATACTGAGAGATAAGAATTTTTGTGTCGTATGTGACAATATATCTGTCAAAGCATTCCCAAGCTGACTATAATGAGATTGCTGATGATGTCTTGTTAAATA